TGATTGTTAAAACACGCACATGGAAGAAACAGCGGCATAAGGATGAGGTCCGTGAGCCAGAATGTCCATCCTCTGAATATGGGAAGACGAGCCAAATACCCAAAACGTCAGACTTATAATAAACTTCTTTTGGCAAATGCTCCTCCTTCTTCTGATTTACCACCTGGGAATCGAATTTTCAGCATTATTTCTGGATGGTCTGTGTTAAAGAAATAACTGCGTTTTACTTGAGTTTGGCCCGCTTGAAGACTTCGGCAACTAAAACAAGCACAGAGATCAAAATTGAAAGGAACAATAGCTTTAACCTTACTTTTTAATTCCTCGTCAGTAACTTTAAACTCTTGAATAAAGTAAGCGTCTTAACAGGCAATTTGCGAAACTGGGCCATTTTCGCCGGCCATAGACAGCTGGTGGACTTTTGTAATGCCACGCAATAGTTGGCGTTCATCGTCGGCATGTTAAATATCATGTTAAACGTGCCTATTCAGAAGTCCTAATAACATAATTATTCTCGAATCCATTCCACCATGGTGTTTTATTGTATTGGAAACATAAGCGACAATTCGGTTGAATTATTTCTCCCTTCAGGTCTCTGCGGGTGTCAAATAGTGTTTAACCTCTGCAATAAATATTCTGTTGTCTACTCCAAATGCTACTAATTTTGATTGTTTTTCTCAATATAACTTTCAGCCTGTGTTATGAGGGTATAACATTTTGTTACAACGATGCCAAAGTCACTTTGGCCGCAAAACAGTGTAAAAAGAGTAAATGAGCCCAATTTCGCATTCCCACTTGCACGCACTGACTGTGCAGGTCCATATAGCGGAGTGATTTCACAGCTTTCAGTCCAACCTTTTGGGTGGCTGCGATCTCTCTGAGCGTCGAAAGTGATGTATTGTTATCTATCCAAGTAATGTCCCCACATTCCTTAAGCATATAGCGACAGAAGCAACTAAAATGTCTCCCGTCCCAACCGTTTTTTTTACCACGTCCAACCTCTTACTTATCACTCGCCGATGTTGTCTACATCGAGGAGTAGTAGACACGGTCGCTGGAACAAAAATTGCTTCCTGAAGCCCGCGTTTTTTCTTATATCGGGGTTGACATTGTCGGTTTTTTTAGGTTGCCCCGAGGCCGTTAATAAACTGCATCTTCTAGGTCTTTTTATTCCATTTCAGAAGGTTTACATGAAAATTATTGAATAGTAACAGAGTCTTGTTATATAGTTCTCCGTTCTTTTGTTATCGGAGTCCTGGAGCT